TTACTAATTTAATTATACAGCTTCTCATTAATCCCATATAGGTAACTGTCCAATTATTTTCTTAATTGGACAGGTCTTGTTGATATGGGATTAATTAGGCAGCTATATAATTAATAGGTAATGGGATTTCATGCTCCCCAATCAAGAAATAATTAGACTCTAAAAATTCCTCTGACTGCCAAATTGGCCTCATACAATTTTGTCAGTCCTCGGAATTTTCCTCATCCAATTATTTCTTGATTGGACAGCACGGAGTCCTATTACATATACTAATTTAAGACTCCATATATCATYCTGAAACCCCCAAGACCTTAGAGCTCTATACACAGCTATTAATTTTTATGCTGAAGAGGAAGGCTACAGTACTTCTGCAGAATAGTGTCACTGTTTGCTACACTTGCAGCAATAATGGACTACTTTGACAATATGGTGGCCATCTTTGATTGATAGGCATTATGAGACATCAAGGGGCAAGTATATCTTTAATTGATACAGTAATGATTGATATTAGTTCAGCTCACCACAAGAGAATACAATGAAAGATGAATTAAGACATTACATACATCGATCACCTTTACRTATGTACCATAAAAGAAAGACAAACACACAAAACTCTATATATTTTCTGTCATCTTTGACTGGTTTTGCCCACTGCCATAATGACCACTGTATCTTTGAACTACTCCATTGTACCACATTTTAATAAAGTTAGTAACCTCAAAAACTACAAAGCTGAGACCRGCAAGGATTATGGGTACTAGATACATTTTACATGTTTCAACCACTTGGTAACTTGGACAGCAAGAACCAATCCAAATGTAGAATAAAAACAATGCATTCCAACTTTGGATTGTGGAATCAATCAGAAACCTGCGCTGCATAAGAATGGTAATTTGACTCTGATATTAGGTGTAAACAACTACTAAGATAGCCATCATCATTTTCTTGTGGGAATAAAAAGATATGTTAAAGCTAGGCTATTGTTTTATCTTCTGGTTAGCTCCATTGCTGATTGCATGGCTTCTGATTCCACTACTCAAGGTTGCAATGTTTTGTTTTTATTTTACATTTTGGTTGGTTCTCACAGTCTACACTGCAATTATATATAATCGATCCCAGTTTTAATAGTACTTGCATTGTAAATCCATCAAAGGTATGATAATTGCAAGTGCAAGTGCAATATTATGTTTCTTTGCTGTCTTTTTCTTTTTTGCACAAGTAATGAACATCTAGACTRTATCTAGTAATTTATCCAACCTACATGTAGTATTCATACGAATACATAATCGTAAATTCGGAGAAATGCGAAAGAAGAAAATGTGACAACATTCCAAAGTGATTTTAAAGGAATATGAACAAGTGAATTGTGCCGAATTGAATTCTTTCAAAGTCATCTAGCATCAGCGAAAAGAAAAAGACAGCAAAGAAACATAATATTGCACATTAAAATACACATCCACATTTTGGCGGAAACCATCCCTCTACAACAGTTACCCAGGTTTTTTAATAGTCACATTAAGATCTTTTGCAAGTTATCATTTTACCTCCAGTGAGCAAAGTCAAACTGCAGCTTGTATAAAAAGCTTTATTTGTTTGATATGAAATGTTACCCACGATCCTTACCACTCTCAGCTTTCTAGGKTTTTGGTAACTAACATTTTTGAAAGAACAATATAGCAAACATATTTCCATTGAACTTACTTTGCTTTTAATGTGAGAAGTCTAGTGAACGTTTCAAGACTGTAGTACCCTCTATCAACGAAGTCCCCCTATAAAGAAGATGCATGATTATAACTGACTTCTATTACTATACTATGTAYTGTACTTTTGTATTGGTTATATTTCCTGGGGTGGAATTATTATKAAATAGTTCCCTTTTAAGGTATTAAACTTGTTAGATGAACATCAATAAAGAATAATATACCATAAAAATATAAGATGTGTCTGGAACTTGTCCTCCTGTCCTRAATAATTCCTCCAGATCATAAAACTAGATATGGAATAAAAAAATAACAACTGTTACAATAGTTACGAATTTATCAACAATATATGTCATATTGGTTACAATAAATAGTTAAATTRCAATATCCACAACTTTGATTATGATAATAAGCCAGTCAGAATAAATAGGCCTAAATAAWAATTTTTTAATGATCTCTTAATAATCTTATTTAAAAAAAATCAAAAGTTTATTTTATAATCTTACATATAAGCTTAAAGCTTACACCGCAGCTAGCTTAAGCATCGTAAAAAATACCACTAAAAAGCTAAAAAAAGAGACCTACTTGTCCATGGATGTCGCCACAAACAGTGACAGGAGTTGAAACAGGCTGAACGTTAGACTCTTCCAGCAACAACTCACACACAAGATCACAAAGTTTCTGCAACAAAACAACAAGAATTTCGATAAAAATTACATTACATCTTCAATTATGATATCGTCGATTAATAATCTATTAGTAAGAGGAAGAAAAACTATACTTTAAGGTCATTTTCTGGTAGATATTCGCATTTTTTGGCGATCTCTATCCATTTATCGATGTCCGCCATGTTTCTTGTTCCTTCGACTGACAGTCGTTAACCTCGACCTCGTGTTGTCCCGAATAGCCTGGGTACTAGGTTCAATCCAAGATGGCGGCAACAAGTGCTGGGAAGATGGCTGTTAAAAACATCCTTTTTCTTGGGTTTTCTACAGGTCCTGGGATTGTAAATAGCTTTGTTAATAAAGCACTACCATGTTGCTCTTATGGTACGTTYGTTGGGAAAGCTGCTTCGTCGATGATGAGGAGTAACAGAGCATCAAATCCAAGAGGTACTGTATGCCCACAGGTTTCTTTTCTCGCTAGTCAAATACTGTAAGTTGAAAAAAAATATGTTGAAGTCMTAAAGATTTCAAATAAAAGAAAAATCGAAGAGCACAGTTTGGTTAAGTGCGTTGTTTTTTCTAAAGGGACATAGGAGTATACGTAGATTTTAGTGTGTGCGCATRTGTGGAAGGGGAGGGGGGATTAAAATCAATAGTTGTGTAGATTAATATTATTAAACTTATTGTTAAACTTCAATTTTTCAATTTTTAAACTTCAATGAGAGCAATTATAGAATACCCTGCAAATGATATGCACTCGTCAGAACTATTTGTAGAACGACGCATACAACGATAGAAGTCATGGTCATTAAGTACAGCTTTATTATATTAGTGCATACGATTTGCGGGGTATTCTTTAATCATATGTTTGACTGAATACTTTAGTTTATCATTTTCAAATGTGAATGCAGTATTTTAAATTCAAATTAAATTCMAATTAAATTGACTTTATTTAACGAGGGTGACATAGTACATTACTGGTGGCCTAGTAGTTTCCATTATGGCCCTCCTACAATTAATAAACTGAAATGAAAGATCAAATATAAAGCGTGTTAAGAATCCCAACTGGCAAGGAGGCAAACCAGTTGGCTATTTACAAGCATGGTTGAGAAACTGAATCTGAACTAATCAGAAATCAGGACAAATACAGTCTCAGCTAGTGGCCACWGTGGAACTCGAACCCGGCACCACYGGATTGCGAGACCGACRYTATRACCACTCGACCATGCTGCCTCCATTTACAATTACAATTTAGAATAAGTAGGGGCTAGATTAGGTCTCCCTACGCCACTCCAGCTTATGTATTCCCCTCTAATGTGCAAAAGATCACCACCCCTTCACCCCTCACAAGGAATTAAAATTTTAACTCACTCCCATGTGATATGGAGTTCAGCCAGAAGAGTAAGGCCCAGTTCAGATGTCAATCGTTTGCCGTGTCGAATTCAATTGCAATTGAAGTCGACTCAAATYCATTAAAATTCGACTTCCGTTTCAAACATATATTGAATCTGTCAATCTCAATTAATTCAAACGTYGCTCTTCTCATGCACTAAATGTAAATAATTAAATTCGACGTGGTGAAAGATCAACGTCTGAACCGGACCTACTATGATTTGCGATCTACCGTGTGAAGCGTGACGTGCCAAACTTGTTTTCATAAGTTATATCCCAGACGTTTGGCACAAATAACTGTCAAGTTTGACATGCAAAACTTTTACGCTGCTGCTGACAAACTTTTAGTTTGCACGTGGAATGTGCGAAGTTTTATGTGGTTCTTTTTTCAGTTTCATATCAAAACTCTYGAGACTTTGAGCGTGAAGTAAAGAAAAATAATATGGATTTAAGAGTTAACAAATTTGGAAGGTCATATTTACCTGGAGCTTCCCTCTCCAACGATATTAGAAGAATAGTCATTGACCTTATTTTACTGCAAGGAGGAGACAGAATTACAGGATTTTTTCCACTTAGTTTCTCTTCATTTGCGCAAGAATTTAAGTTATCATTAAACACAGTAAGGAAAATTTGGAAGCAGTTTTGTGAAAGCTATGAAGAACAATCTTTATACAATTGCAGTGGAGATTTCAAAAGTAAATTAACAGATGATGACCTTGAATTCATTGAAATTCTTAAGACAGAGAAGAGTTTGATTTCTTTAAAGGAAATCTATGARCAACTGGAACATTTGGGGAACATGGGAGGAGATATTTCTATCTCTGCTATATAGAGAGCGATTAAGTCGAGGTTATTATCAGGCAAGCAATACTCAAGAAAAAAGAAGAACCACATAAAACTTCGCACATTCCATGTGCAAACTAAAAGTTTGTCGGCGGCAGCATAAAAGTTTCGCATGTCAAACTTGACAGTTATTTGTGCCAAATGTCTGGATATAACTTATAAAAACAAGTTTGGCACATTACGCTTCACGGTAGATCGCAAATCATAGTAAGTTTTATTAGATAGTAAAACAATAAGTATGCTGTAACTTTGAGGGCAAAAAACGGTCAAATAGATAATAATAATAATTAATTCAGAATTATTTCACTTTTTTTCAGAAAGGAACAGACAAGGGCGCAGTGGAACAGGGCGTAAACTAGCTAGTGTGAGTATTGTATATAAGCTTGCAGTTATTTCTTTTTTTTATGCATTGTGATTTAAAATAACGGCAGTGAATCTGACGATGTCCAGCTAAAATTTGAGCTTGTTCRCTCAAACCTTTGCCTTGCTGGTCATTTTTACCAGTCATGTTGACTGGCGACTGACCAGTTTTTATTTTACATTAAGCCCCATCATAAGAGCAAACTAGAAACTTACATGTACACTGTATCTTTATCAGCTTGTCTGAAAACATGCTTAGAAGGCAGTTTTGAGTTGTATTTTTTTGTTGATTCTAGAATCCTTCAAGGGCAATTAAGATGGTCCCAGAAACAACAGATTGGCCATCTGTGTTCTCAGGTGCACAAACATTCAATCCATCAGTCATCCCTGTGTTCTTCAGAATGGGAAGGCCAAAACATAACAGAATAGACAAAAARCCAAACAGAACAATGGGTAATATTGAACTAATGAAGGTAGGTGCAACTTAACTATATAAATCAATACTGGTTGATACACCAGCTATATATGGGTTATATTGAACTAAAAGTGAAACTTTACTGTCATTATTATTGGGTGAAAAACAATTTGGCCAGCGACTGTCACCTGCCTCCTGGGTGTACCTAGGGGGTAATGAATTCAACCATTAAAGCTAGGCAGTAGGGAAATAGGTGCAAAGTGTTGCTTTTAAACTCATCCCGCTTTAAACTGCCTSCTCTGCAGGCATCTCTCATATTTGCCCTTCTTAGGTATTTGGTACCCCTGTGTGAAAAAGGAGGGAGGGGAATAAGGATTGGGGAGACACACAACACAGATACATACATGTACAAAGAAACAGAAGAAAAAGGCTTTTAGTGAAGAGAGATGCCTAGAGGAGGCTACTGCCACACCAAAAATATRAGTTTAATTTAAATAGCTAAAAAAACAACCATTTTTGATAGCAACGTTGATTTTTATATGTTGTTTTAAAATGTTGTTGACTAGTATATTCATGAGATTTTATTTCTTTTATTTTTACTAGGTAACAAATTTTTTCCATCTCAGTCCCCCGGCAATTGAGCGTCACTGTGAAGCACTCAAATGTAAGCTGTTATATTATCAATGTATAGTACAAAATAATGTTTTTTCTAATTAGGGAGCCTCCCGGGGGGGGGGGGGGGGGGGGTACTCCACCAGAATTTGGGTAGGGGTGTTCCTATTTGTAGACCCTGTTTATGACAAAAGATATAATTAATTGCACTGAGTTCCTGTTTCAATTATCATGTCATCTCACGTATCATTTTTTTACGACCATGGTAACCAGTTTCAGTCAATACGAAAATAGAAATCCTTAATATGACAAGAAACTCAGGAAGAATTTGGACCTTGAGTGAAATTGCATACCCTGTTTATGACAAGAAGCTCGAAAAACCATACCCTGTTCAGCGGATCATCCCCATATAGTTCACATATGGGAGTACCCCCCCCCCCTGGGGGGGAGCCTCAGCTCAAACTTTGGAATAACATGTACATGTATGATGCTTACATGATAAAGCACTAGTCATACAATGTCAAGGAAAAACAAATATTGAATTTACAGTATACAATACCRTTTACTTGTACATTTACATGGTCATAACTTTAATCATTATTTTTTGATGATTATAATTTAACATGAAACAAAGTGCTTATTTATGTTGCACCACAAGGGTAGATGCTTTATTTTCATTTTTCATTAGTTAACAATCATTATTTTTTCTTTTATAGCTCTCTGCAAGGAGTGGCCATCAGATGTTGATCTTTCATCATATCCTATTAAAGTTATAACTAGAAATTACCTTTTTGCTGGTCCATCACTCTATCATCCTGGCTCTCGTAAAGTCAAACTTCAGGTACAGTAGAACTAGTACCTGAAACATGTTGATTGTATGCAGTATATATCCAGACAGGTATTATTAGAGTACTAGTAAGCCCCATTCCCATTGGCAGCTCATTTGTGTCATGCATTTGTTCTAGAGAAATAGAGAGACTGAGTGAAATATTGATTTTCTCAAAGGAAATTCTGGTTTAAATCTCTGTTGTTCTTGCTGATCAATGCATGAATGGAGTAAGGAAGAAAGGAAGGTTTCAGGGAAGGAAGAAATGAGGGAGGGATTTTTACTATACTTTAGCCATACAATTATTTTCCTGTAATTCTATTACAAAAGTGACTGATTTAAGTGAAAYGTGTAGTTCCAGAAATCATCCATACCCACCCCACAGAGGAATTTGGAATTTCTGAAGAGTAGGGGGGTCAGAGAAAAACCAAAAGTTACAGAGTTTGTATGGAAGAAAATTGGAATTTCCAGGGGGTAGGGGGGTATCTTAAAAAAATTCCTCTGTGAGGGGGTATGGATAATTTTTAGAACTACACAATGTTCTGAAAAGTGATTCCCATGGCATTTGTAGTCAATATGTGTACGACACAATGATTTTATTTGAATGCCAAAGGCAACTCATGGTTCCAACTTGGCAATAGCAAGCAATCACCATTGACASAGTTTTGTTAGGGGAATTAAAAGCATGTCCCACAAACAATTACTCAATCACTGTTTTAAAGAGTACTACAAGGTTTTGGAGCAAGTTCTTTTATTTTTACAGGACAGCGAACAGTTGAAACAATTTATTATCGATTTTSTGTGATCAGAATTTTATATTCTGGGATATTCTAGCTAATTTGTTGAGCTTGTGAGACATAGCAACGGTAGCTACTGTMAGGGGAGTTGGAACCATGAACTGACTGGAAAAAAAAGATGTAGAAGGCTATATTTCTTGCAGTATTACAGTATTATTTTTCTTGAACCATRGTACAACTCCAACTAATGCCTTACAATGTACAGTATTTTATAAATAATTATACAGCTTCTCATTAATCCCATATAGGTAACTGTCCAATTGTTTTCTTAATTGGTCAGGTCTTGTTGATATGGGATTAATTAGGCAGCTATATAATTAGTAGGTATTGGGATTTCATGCTCCCCAATCAAGAAATAATTAGACTCGAAAAATTTCTCTGACTTCCAAATTGGACTTGGCCTACGGCCTCATCCAATTTTGTCAGTCCTCGGAATTTTCCTCGTCCAATTATTTCTTAATTGGACAGCATGKAGTCCTATTACATATACTTATCATCGCATACTTTTGTTAATATGGAGCTGATTATTTTATAGATTTGCTTGAAAGATTTAATTCTTGATGACCATGCAAGAAAGAAGTTAATAGATCTTGTAGGTCCAAGATATAACCCTGAGACAGACACACTGACCATAGTAACTGATAGGTATGTTTTCCTTTTTGTTATTGATAATTGTTATTATAACATATCAAGTAGTGGTTTTACTTTACAGATGATAAAGACAACTTCAACCAAGGTATCATATCTCAAAACCTATAAAAACTAAGATTTTTGTTTTTGTTTGTACTAAGGTGTCCCACAAGGAAACAGAACAAAGACTATGCATTGTACTTAATGGCTGTTCTTTACCATGAAGCATGGGTAAGTATGTCCTGGTGCAAGACTTTGCTTGATTTGTAGAAGTTTGCAATGTGTTATATGCTATCGTGCAAAACATTTGTTGACTGTGAKGAATCACTGCAGAAATATGTTGTAACATATGTTGCACACTCTGTAATTTTCTTTGAATGAAACTTCGTTTAGATTTTTGTTGCACTTGCAGTGCAAGARAATATGAGCTCAATTGCAGTGTGCTGCTGTCTTTTCTCAACAACAAACATGACAAAAAAAAGGCTAGAACGTTTGAACTTTTTTTTAAAGCATTCTGAAAAACGACTGTACAATTGGAAAGATAGAGACTTCAAGTTTTTGATTGTCAGCACGAGAAAAAATGCTATAAATTTGGGTAATCACGGGTATCATGGGTGCTTTAGTACCATTATTTTACTGGGAAAAACCGGAAATTCCGGTCGGAATACATATGAGCACATATTACGTGTCCCGTGTGTTATTATTGCATTCTRACCTGTAAAAGTTCATGAAAACTCGGTCTTTTTTGATTGAGGTTATCAACTTTTCCCGCTCTTTTTGGTTCTTCGGGTAGACGCGTGTACCATATGTCGGAAGTCGAGGTTTCCCGCTCTTTTCTTATCTTGAGCTCTCATGAGCTTTGGTAAGCACTCCATGCCCTCTAAGTACACGCGCCGAATATTATTCCCCCACAATAATACAGCTTATTTTCCAACTGTTAAATTTTTTTYCCTAGAAAACAGAGCCTTGGGAAACAGATAGTACACAAAATGAAGAGGATGAGGATATTGAGCTTCCCAAAAAGAAAAGACAGAGTCCAATACGYCTGCGTCTTGTTGGTGATGAATTATACAGGTTCAATAAATATGGCAAAGGTTTCAAACTTCAAATCAAAACCAAAGTGTAAAAAGAGCAATAAAACTGACGTTTCATTATAAACCTGCCTTCTTTGTCCTTTTTTTAAGGGTGACCAGTTAAGGATAAAGACAAACATCCCCTAGGCCCCTCCCCCCCTCTTACATTTTGTAATGGATAATTTATATATAAAATGCAGATTCTAAAAGCATAACCAATATATCCTGCCGTGTTCAAGAAAACAAGAAGCTAAAACCTAAAGAGACTTTCGTTCAGCTCAACGACTTTGAATACGTGAATATGACAATAACTAGCGGTTACTAGTTTGGGATTGCGGGGCGTATGTCAAATGCAACAAGTAAATAAATAAAGTAGGAACTTGGGCACCGTGTAAAATGCTTGTAGCTGTACGTATACAACAAGGTAATATTTAAATTAAAAGTAGTCAAAAGACATATTTTGTAAGCTTTGAAATTTAAAGCCGGGAAGGGTTTTGGATTCAGCAGGGAAGGGCTTACGGARTGAAGGTTGAAGTAATGGTGGTTTCATTTATTAGAGAGTTTTAGATTGACTTTTTTTTCTGCCCGCAAACGGCAAACGTAACCACGTTTTCATAGTTTTCCTGTATTTTACTTTACCTTTTACGAACCTTCTCACCAAGCGCAAATACTTTTTTGTTTTTCTACTACTTGGACTTTTTTGCGATTCTTTTTCAGTAATTTAAAAGGATTTTTTTACTGGTCRACTGACGTTTTACGTTTGCCGTGAACGTAAATCTAAAACACTCTATTTACTTACCATCTTCGTCAATCCGGAAAAGATGCCCTATTATTATTAATATTGCTGTGTACTAAACGCCTGTCTACTCAAAGCAATATTCTTAATAATGCTGTCAGCTATTTCAGCACAAAGCAATATTAATAATATTACTAGTATCTGCTGAAATAGCTGTAGCTTGTCGTATGATTTTGCACTTAGCAATCAATGATATGATGCAGAGAGAAAACAATAGGCTGGGGCATTGAATACATTACCGTACCTTGAAATGATTTTTAAGGTCCAAGGACTTAGAAATATTTCCAGGTCCTTGGACTTAGAAATCATTTAAAGGTACTGCAGATAGTTCTTTACTGTGTTTCAAAGAGCAACATGTTACATGAAAGTAGAACACCAATTGGTTCATTACGTCACGTCATGAATAATTAATGATATTTTATAGGAAGAGTAAAGCTTACATTATGAGTGCCTTTTGCGAAATTTGTTTACTAGAGGGTTGAGGGTAAAAAGTCGGGGGCCCAATAAAAACATCAAAACAAACATAGTTTTTGTCTCAATCCAAAAAGACTCGTCCAATAGCTATAAAATGCAATAAATATTTTATTCATATTTCATCTTTATACTCTATTCTTTTTAGACTACTCTGTTTCTATATCTAGTAATACTATCCCCCATGATGGAAAAAAGCAATCGTCTAGTCTCGCATCGAATAAACAAGGATTCTTGAAAGAAAGAATTCATATTGCTTTTCCTTGAGTGCTGAATTTTTATACTTTCAAATTTTCTGACATTGCTTTCAATTCAGTCATACCATACACGGCATTAAAATAGCTCAAAGCACAACAAAATTTGAAAGTTAAAGCTTTACTCCGAGATAAATAATGATTAGAAAGTGATTTTTGTAGCGATTTGGGTTGGTTTATCTCACAATTAATATCTTAAAATAACTTCTTCTTGATTTCTTCTTCTACGCCCAAGCGACGAAGTCGTCTGTAGCACGTTGTGTTGCTTAACATGAGAGCTCTTCGTTTGCTGCAAGTACAATCTCATGTAGCCGCATCCAATGAGTGACTGGCGCAAATTCGCCGCATAACCTAAGATGCAGACTGTTGTTCATGACTTTTTTTAATTATTGTTAGTATATAATTAATATTTTTAATTATTTGTTTTTGAAATTTTTAATATAATCTGAACTCGTTTACTTTTTTGTCTTAGAATTTAACTTGTCAAGAACTCGAAGTCGTAGTGTACCATGTTATGAACTTGAAAAAACAGTATGGCGGCCTGGTTTTGTACTAGGGATAGACCCGAATGCCGGGCTATATTATTCGGATATAATAAATGTATAGATGTAGTAAATTACCCGTTTGTAGATTCGTGTAATTTCAAATCCAGTACTACAAGCTATTTTAAGACCCTGAATAATGGTCCTGCAAAACCGGGGGGGGGGGGGGGGGCAACGGGTGGGGATTTGCCTTTTTTTGTTAAAAAATCGTCAAAAACCCACACCTTTGGGACCACAGTTCCAGTCAAATTAGGTCAAACACCCACAATACTGGGCAATTTTGTTGGCGGGGAGTAATGAGAAAATGCTGTGAAATAAAGTCGAACGATTGCCAGTCGATTGTAATGTAAAATATATCGACTATTGTCATGCAAATATGTAAGCAACTCTTGTGGAAATATTTAAGCCATGAATAAAAAATGATGTATTATTAAATGACAAAGCTAAACATAAAAACTACAAAAATCGATGGCATGAAATTAAATAACAAAGATCCAACTGGATTGTTTTTACATGCTGGATTGTTTTAATTTTACCAGGCACCGCCATCTTGAGAACGAGTGTTTACCACAGGAAGCCATAAAATTCATTAGCTAGTCACCAGTCTCCTGAAATGGAATCAAATCGTCCCTACCCTGGGGAGGGCATAGTCGATCAACAACCCAACCCTGAGAATACAATGTCTGTCAAATCCCCACCCGTTGCCCCCCCCCCCCCCCTAACTCGGACTTAATATTGATAGGTGCATAACTGCCAATACACAAAAAAGGTGACAAGGAGGATATAGAAAATTATAGGGGGATAACTCTCCTGTCAGCCACAGAGGAAACYTTTTCACATCTATTTTGAACCAAAGACTCTATAGCTACCTTGTTAACACTAAGGGTATCATCAAAAATGAGCAATTAGGTTTTAGAAAAAATCACTCCACRATCGATGGGATTTTTTTGCTAAAGAATCTAATCGACCGTGAAGTTAAATTCAGCAATAATCGTAAAGCAAATATGTTGTTTTCATGCTTCGTTGACTTTAAAAAGGCCTTCGATTGCAAACCAAGGCATACACTGCTCTCCAAAATAGAGCAGGCCGGCGTAAAAGGGAACTTTTTACTCTATTACAGTATTAGATCAATGTACAAGGAGGACTGTTCAGCTATAAAATAGGAGGGGCTGACAACAGAATCTTTTCAATGCTATAAGGGAGTAAAACAAGGCTGTATGGTAAGTCCCACTCTTTTTAATCTATTTCTTAGCGACTTACCAGATATTCTAAAACAATCTGAAATCGCTGATCCTATTCTAATGCATGGATCGCTTCTAAATTGTCTTCTATAYSCTGACGACTTAGTATTACTAAAAARCCCAAAGGATCTACAATCATTACTCAACCAGCTAAATTTATATTCCAACAGTAATGGGTTAACAGYGAACATTGAGAAGACAAAAGTTTTGATCTTTAATAAAGCAGGACGACGTCTAACCAACTATACCTTTCGCTATAGGGATCATATCCTTGAAAACGTTCGGCTATGCAAGTATCTAGGTCTAACCTAAGTGCTTTTGGGAATTTCTCGATTGCACAACAAGGACTTAAAAAATCAGCCTTAAAAGCTTTGTTTAAACTGAAAAAAGAGATGGGATGTTTTTTTAACCACGACCCTACATAAACTAAAATTATTTGATTCTTTAGTAAAGCCGATCCTTCTTTACGGTAGTGAAGTCTGGGGCACTGACAATATGAAGACTGGCAATCCAATTGAGTCAGTTCATATAAAATTTTCCAAAATGTTACTTGGGGTTGGAAGAAAGGCTACCAATTCGGCTTGTCTAGCCGAATTAGGTCAATTCTCCATCAATTTAAATGCAAAATTAAGATCAGTTAAGTTCTGGCTAAACATAACAAAACTTGAGAACCGCCAAAAACTGTCTGCAATTATATATAKAGAGAGTCATTAGCAACAAACAACAATAGCTGGTCCATAGTTAACTATGGCTGGTCTACATGAAGATATAGAAATAATGGTAAGTTATASTGCTTGGGAACGAGGTTATTCCGGGCGAAAGCCCTTGGAATTAAATTCGGAAAAATTAATTTCCGACCAGCGGGGTCGGAAGGGCTTTTGCCCGGAATAACCTCGTTCCCAAGCACTATAACTTAYCATTATTTCTATATCTTCATGTATTTCATAACTGCTACGCGGTCCACATATTCTCATCTTTGCATCATAATTACCGCGATCTTTCATCTATTTCACCCCGGCCTGCTCTCAGTCTGACCTCTCAGCTGGTAGAGCATCGGTAGTACAATTCCGAAGGTCGTGGGTTCGATTCCCGGCGAGGTCGGAAAATAATTTTTCCGAATTTAATTCCAAGGGCTTTCGCCCGGAATAACCTCGTTCCCAAGCACTATAACTTTCCATTATTTCTATATCTTCTGTATTTCATAAGTGCTACGCGGTCCACATATTCTCATCTATGGCTGGTCCAATGAAGTAAAATCTTTATTAGACCGAAGCGGCTTAGGGAATATCTGGCTTGAAWTAAACTACAATCATTGTTCAAGTCAGAACCCATTCAAAATAATTAAAACTAGATTAACGGATATAGAAATTCAAGTCTGGCGAGGGGAACYCTTCAACGATGAAAAAACTAGAAAAGGCCCACCAGGACAAAAAAATAAATTAAGGACATATCGCCTGGTAAAGACAGATTACTCGTTYGAAAATTATTTAATTGAAGTTAAGAATTTTGTTAGTATATCGYATAGTAGAAAAACAAAATTGTTACCAAGGGGGGTAGGTGAGATGACAAAAAATCGATAGCGCGCGCATAAAAAGACAAAGACAAGACACCATTTAGTATTTCCTTCATTTATTAGAGTGGTTAGCCTGTGGTTAAATGAGAACGAGCTGTTTCTGCTATTTATGAGTCCGCCCAAAATGTTAGCARTTACAGTAGCAAAATATGTCCACAACTGCTTTATAAAAAGATCACATACAATACAGAATTAATATAGTATGTGGTCTTCTTACCCAGACTAGGCAATAAATAGTTTATAGGTGAATCTATGATAACATAAGAAAAACTACTATAAATCAACAATTATAGCCTTCATACGTTAATGTTTATTCGGGTAAAATATCAATGTATTTTTTAATACTGGATACCGAATAAGAAAGTCTGCCTGTCTGTCTGTCTGTCTAACTGCAATCAACTCCAACRAATGAGTCTCGATCGAGCGACCATTGYTTTGATTTAAAAACAAGCTTGAATGACGTTGTCTCAGCTGAATATTTCTTCAATGTGCTGTTTATGGATTCCTTCAAAAACCTTTCAGAATTTTTCAAGGAATTMTTCTAACACATTTTGTCGTAAAATTGAATGAAATTTGGTTTGTCAACTGCATGAAGCTTGCTTGTCACTGCCGATCTCTTGTGTACCCATGACGTCACTACAATCCGACCAATCAGGAATCGCATGCTARAATAGCTCAGGCTTGCGCGCGAAACTAAAAATTGATTTTTAAGAAACTTTCATGGGTCACAGGGATATGCTCTCTTACTTCATATTCTCTTGATGTCGTGTCAAATACTCGTTACTGTCACTGTATTCTATTGGGSTTTCAAAATCCGAGTGGAATTTCAAATGCCGAGACGTAATAGAATACAGCAACTTGTACTCAAAACATTAATTGAACAACAGATTAGGACCCATTTTCCGTTTTGTTTCTGACGGGTTTTGATGTTTTTATATATGTTGGCGTTGTTGTCATTGTTGTCGTTTCGGCTTTTTTGAGTCTTCATGGTAGAATCATGAGGTGTTGCTTATAGGTTTCCAAATCCCTCCCTGATACCTTGAGCCTTAATTCAAAGCATCAGAAAACTTATTCAATTCCAACATCTATTGTAATTTATTAAGTATTTCCTGTGCATAAGAAAAGTGATTCAATTAAGCAAATAATATAGGTTGATAGTCCCGGGTTGTCATTTTGGCTAAAAATCGATCATGCTGCATATGTCGGAAAAAGCTACAAATGACGAATACCTGGTGTAGTAATATCTACTGATTCCTCTTTATATTTCATTTGACTTAAATRAATTTTCTATACTAAATATATTAGAACTATCGAAAGAACTGACTAATTTGATTCCGATAGAACGAGCAGGCGAACTGAACAAAACACTTTTGAAAACACGTTATCCCCTCTACGATTTGCCCCTCCCCCCCTAATACAATGAAATCCAACAGAAAAAAAAAAACAAAAAAAATGTAATTAAATAAAACTTTTAAATTTTT